GCTCAAGTCCCTCAGTTCCTTTTCTACTGTTCACGGCCAATGACAGAGTTCCTCAGCAATGCGACCTCTTCCTTAAAAGAAAATTTTTTTGTGAAAAATTACGGTTCTTTTAACCGCATTTAGTCACCATTAGTCATTTTTTTTCTTAGATTAATCCATTCCCAGAAAAAAATTTTTTTCTTTTTCCCTCTTTGCCCCAGTTTCCTTAAAATCCTGGGCTTCCCCCAGATTCAAGAAATGAGACTCCTGCAGGGATCTCATGCCCATTTGTGACAGGCAAAGGCCATGTGGCGCAGAAATGCCAGTGCTGCTAGAGTATGACAGTAAGAGCCAGAAGAGACAGGGAGACTAGGCTAAAGAAAATACTATGGGAGAAGTCACTCCAGCCCTAAGAAGTTGGTGCTGGCAGAACCCATGACTCCAATGAAGAGAGCCCGTTCATCTCCATCCTGGTATTCTCACAAGTCCAGGGCGGTCACTGCTCGTGGTGCCACCGACATCCCGAACAACCCATTCGCCGGTTTCATCTCCCTCCAGCAGTGCTGAGACAACCAGCAGCACCGTCTAAGAGAGTAGAGTCAGAACCAAAACGTAAAAGAAGCTCCTCCGTACCGACTAGCACGAGCTCCCGCCCGGCACCAAAGACCAGCTCAGACATGACTGCTCTGCTGGCATTAGTGAAGATAATGGCACCGACTCAAGCCACTTCTTCACAGCACACTCCAGCACCTAAACAATCTTCAGCACTAGAGACTACAACAAGCAAAACCCATTAGTGGTCTGAGGTCCGGCACTGAGCAGCACAGGTGCCAGCAACTCCTCCACCGGAACAAACTGGTGGAGTCACCACTGCATTTTCCAATGCTGAGGGAGGATAGTCCACACTGGTACCAAACGAAGGACATCTCCTTTTCATCTACGCCATCCTCTCCGGCACCAACCTCAGCACTGCACATGTGAGCAGCTTCTCATCTCCTCTCCCATTTACTCAGTAACATTCAACCAGGCAAAAGACTGGCCAAAACTAACCTCACTACCCCTGGTTCAGCCATCCATGGCCATACCCAACTCAGTCGTACCCCCCCACAGTGGCCCCCACGGAATCCAGAGGCTCAATGCCACTTACAGCCATCACAATACCACCATCGATAGGATACAGCTCCTTCTACTCCAGCTCCTCCAGCAACTCGCTCACCACCAACTCAACCACCACAGTCACCTTCTGTGGTGACAGACCCTATGGAGAAGGAGGATGACCTACTGAAGTGTGATATAGAGGATCCATCCCCGGTGGCCCAGTCTTCATCATCCCCCTGATAAGGCAGTCTTCCCCTCCTCCTCTCTACCAGAGGATGAATTGAAACAATTACAGGAATTGCTTGAGGGTTGGGAACTCACAGGAAGTTCAAGTAAAACAGCACCAGCTGCTACAAATATTGCAACCTGTGTCTTCCTCAAAAATTGCTCTGACTATTGATGATTCCATAATGGAGCTGTCTGAGCCCATATGGCAAATACCTGTTTCCATTCCCCCTACAAATAGAGGGGCGGATAGGAAATACTACATCCACTGGTTGTGGATGTGGTCCATCATTAGTCAAGACAGTCATTATTCAGATCCACTCCATAAAATAAAGAGCACATTAGACCTCATCGGGCAGAAAGTCTACTCCTTGGCAACCCTGCAGTTCCAAATCTATAACTACATAACCCTTCTCATGAACTATGGTCATGTGAATTACTCAAGGCATCAGGAGCTTATAAACAACGTCCTAGAGCAAAGATGACCACCACTCCATCCATTATTCAAGAGGGCCAGATTATTGCCTGAACTGCCTTACAGGCTTCAATGGATGTGGCAGATATAGCTGCCATGGTGACAGCTACAGCTGCAGTGATGCATTGTACCTCCTGGTTACAATCTTTGGGAATCCTGCTGGAGTTGCAAACCAGAGTAGACAACCTCCCGTTGGATAGAACCCACCTGTTTGCAGCCAAAACAGACGAGGTTCTCTACTTGATGAAAGCGTCTCACACAACCCTTCGCACATTGGGGACAAATACTCCACCTAACAAAAGAAGAGGGTATACACCATATATGAGGCTGAGACACCCCCTTCCAGAGATAGTAACAAAGAGCTTTTGATCAAAGGTCCAAACAACAGTTGAGCAGAAGAAAGGGTCAACATACTCAGGCCACAGCACCACAGCCATCAGTATCAAAGCCACAGTTTTTAAGGTGTGGTCAAGGGTCTGAGTGACCTCCCCTTAGAACCAATGCAGTCCAGCCATCTTTTTGGTCACTGCCTATGGCCTTTTTGCAATCTGTGGGCCCTTATTACCATGGACCAGTGGGTTCTCGAGATTGAGAGATTGGGCTATACCTTTCCCTTCCTATCTACTTCCTCTGCCCTTCCCTGTATCTCTTCAGGGATCCTTCTGACAAATACCTGTTACAAACAGAGGTACAAAACCTTCGCCGCTGACATAGAACCAGTTTCTCCACAATTTCACAGGAGAGGGTTCTACTCAAACTATTTCCTTACGTAAAAGAAGACAGGAGGCTGGAGGCCCATCCTCAATCTCAGAAAACTGAACAAGTTCATCTGCAGTCAGAAATTTAAGATGGTGACACTGGGGGCTATCATACCAGCATTGAATGAGGGGGACTGGTTCTCAGCTCCCGACCTTCAAGAGGCCTATTTCCAGATATCCATGCACCTTTCTCACAGGAGATTTCTCAGATTCAAGGTGGGAGAATGTCACTACCAGTACCATGTGCCACCCTTGACCTTTCAACTGCACCCTGTGTGTTCTCCAAGATAGTAGCAGTGGTCAACGCCTTCTTGAAATGTTAAGGGGTCATCATATTCCCCTCTTTAGATGATTGTCTAATCAAAGGTATTTCTCATCAACACACTTTTAACATTTGGGATATTTTCTCCCACCTTGGCCTCCTAGTAAATCTCCAGAAATCCACCTTAGAACCTACCCAAAGGATAGAATTCATAGGAGCATTGCTAGATTCCACCAGAGCGTAGGCTATCCCTCCCCATCCACCAGTTCAACACACTATGGAACTTCATCAGAGTAGTGTTACACATTCTGTTCATGACCATTCATGCAGGCCTTCAAATTCTGGGACATATGGCAGACACCACATATGTGGTACAATTTGCAAGACTCCTCATGCGCTGTTTACAGGGATGGCTAGCTACAGTGTACATCCCAAACTGACACAACCTAAGCAAGTGAATAGCACTTTCCCCGCTAGTACTCACGTCTCTCTGTTGGTGGATATGTCAACACAATCTTCTCAAGGGAGTATCCTTCCAACAGCGCAACCCATCATGCATGATAACCACCAACTCATCTTTCAGAGGGCGGGGTGCCCATTGTGGTTATCATATAGTCCAGGGCAGATGGTCACTTTGCGAGATGTGCCTGCACATCAACATATTGGAACTCAGAGCTGTCTGCAGTGCTTGTCTCCACTTCCTCCTGATAATCTATGGCAAAACCATTCATATCCTTACAGATGTCACACACTGAATATTTTATATTAATAGACAAGGGTGTGCCCAATCATGCTCTCTATGTGCCAAGATGATCCAGTTTTGGAACTGGTGCATAACAAACCGCGTAACACCATAAGCAATGTAGTATGTTCTGCCAACTCATCACGTTTAAATGCTTTGTTGATGTTTTCCATATTATTCTTGTTCTCCATATTCAAGGAATGCCCTCCCAGACAAAATCAATGAGGATATAGATAATAGAAAATTATATTCAGAAATAATTAAAATAGGTTAAAGGGAAATTGACAACATAGTTAACCCTCAAATTAGTCTGCCTTATGACAAAACTGCCATTTATCTTTGTTATAATAAAATATCATCATTAAGAAAACATGTGAAACACTAATAATCCACTAGGATCTCCTTTTTCTTTGAACTCACCTTTGTCAATAGACTTAAAATTGTTTTTTTATTTTGACAAGACTGTGTTTTGAGATGATAAAACTGATTCTAAGCAAGATGGGAAGTATTCTACCTCCTGTGGATCTGTGGAGAGAAAGTCTGGCAGAGTTAGAAGTAGTATCAAAGGGTGGGAACTCTGAGAAGTGTTGGTTCTTTGGGGACAAAGTAGATTATTTATTCATTGAACAATAAGATATGGTAAGGCATGAATTTTATTGCATTAATTTACACTGCAGGCGTTTTGCTCAAGAACAGTCGTTCTTGCGCAAAAACTTGCGGAGCATCTATACTGCACATGTGTTCTTGTGCAAGTAAATTTGCAGTAAAGCATCAGAAAAGAGGGCTTCTTGCGCAAAAGTTATTCCTCTCCCCACAAGGAAAAAGCCCTCTTGCACAAGAAGGCAGTATGGCCAGGCAACAGGGATTTCTTGCGCAATAAATCCCTATGGCTAAAATGGCTGTCAGAGCTTTCTTGTGCAATAGTGCGTCCACACCACCATGGATGCTCTTGCGCAAAAGCACATCTCTTGCGCAAAAGCACATGGCAGTGTGGACTCACTCTTGCGCAAGAACTCTTGCACAAAACAGTTCTTGTACAAGAAGCCTGCAGCATAGACGTAGCCCTAGTCTATGCATCTTTTTGTGGACATAAAACCAAATACTCCTTGCTGTCAAATGAACCCATGTGTATATGGAAATTATAACACAGTTCTGATTCTATAAAGTATTATTGCAATTATAAAAATGAGTTCTGTCCTTCTGGGGCCCAGAGGATGGGTTTACCTGGGCTTGTTTACTTTTTAACAGAAACTTTGGCTACTGAAGAGCATAATTGATAGATGTTGCAAGAAGTCAGATCCAGTCTTCAACTGATGGGACAGTTGCACACCAACTTAACATTGAGAAGTGGTGGAGTAAAAATAGTCAAGGCAATTGATCCTTAGAATTCATAGCCTTTTTCTAGGAGAAAAGTGTGATAATTCTGTTTGTTTTGTATTATGAAATCATGTGTTTGTTTAGGTTGGAAGCTTTCTGAGAATTTACAGTCTGCATTCAAAACAAGCCAGTGCTGGGAACCAGGCTGATGTTTCCTATGTAGAATTTCATCTTCATGGAGGTACCTGTTACGGTCGAGGAATTAGAGTCCTGCCAGAAAATAATCCAGACGTTAAAGAACTAAAAGCGTGAGTTCTGTAAATAATCTTTGAGACTAGTCTGGAAGTTTTAAATGTAGTATTTTAGAATTCTAGTTCCAGTAAACATGAAGCTATTTACATTTGTAAGTGCTTTGGGGACTGAGTACAAGTAAGCACCCAGCACTTCTGGAGTGGAATGAGATAGTCGTTTGGCACTACCATACTATACAACTTTTCAAGAGAGGGGTAGGTAAGTAAGTGAGGAGTAAATTTTCCAATTGAAACTATAAGAGGAGTTTGGATTAACAATCATAATTGTTCAAATTATGATTTGGCCAAGCTACCAGGTGTTATAAACTTAGTAATCTTTTAAAAAGTGGCATGCAGGCACTTAATGATGAAGGTGCCAATTCACCAACGTAATTAAGCACTTACTTCATGTAAAGCATGTGCTTAGGTCTAATTGACGTCAGTAAGATTTAAGACCATGCTTAAAGCAAGGAACATCAATAAATACTTTATTGATACGGGGCCCACAGGCAAAGAACAGTTAAATGATCAAGATCTCCTTTTTATATTTCATCAGAAAGTGTGCATTTCTAGTAGCACAGTTTTCTCTTTATGCTATATTGGATATTGATTCCCTTACTGAATCTTCAATAAACAAGCCTGTAGCCCTTGGATTCTTTTCTGTTTTATGTCTGTACAAGAATATCTATTATATCTAAACACTGTAACTGGACATATGAAGAAAAGGATCAAATCTTTGATACCTTTAAAATCTGTTGAAAACTACCGAAGATGAATATATTCATATTTGTAAAATCTTTGTTCTTTTTTTTTTTATAGATTCATGGATTCTGTGATTCTTACAGAGAGTCAAAACGTGGAGAGCACGTCTTCAATGGAAGTTGATGGCACTTTTGACAATCTATCATGTAAGAGTAACTGCAAACTGATTCATTCCTTCTTTCTACATAAAAATAGTACTAGTTATCTTATATTTATTATCACTTTAAAGAAGACTTGGAGTTGATTTTTTTTTTCCATTTAAACAAAAAGTATCTGGCAGGTACAAGTTATGTGTGGACCTATTAGACCATTAACCAATATTCACTTACTTGTCTATGTCTCAGCAGAAGTTTGTCATGTAACTACATGAGTGTTTGTTTAAAAAGAGTTGGTAAAGAGTTAATTTAAATGCAGAGCGTAAGATTTTTCACTTCACTTTAATGTAGCACTGTCTTGAAACTGTATTAAAGCACACTAAAGAATAATGTAATAGGTACAGCAGGGCACCAGTTAATGTGCTAGCATACTTCAGAAACCACATACCCCTGGTTCATTATCCCACTGTGTGGACAAACCCTTATCAAGAAGTATGTTCACACAAAACAGAATACTGTTTTAGGGAAATTTACATCAAAAGTTAGGTCCCTACTCAAGAAAATGGCTACCATTTGCCTATGAGGACTTGTAGGAATAGTAGCAAAATAGTCACTAGGTCTCTTTTGAAAAACTAAAATTCTACAATCTGTACTCCTTCCTCAGCATTTCACAGGTGTTAAATTTATTTGATTGTTTGTATGTTACCAGCATAAGTCTCCCATTCATCAAAAAGACAATAGGCCCTTATGAGCTAAGATCAGGCCTACACTGGGAGGGTCAAAGTTGAACTAAGGTACATAACTCCATCTACATGAATAGCATAGCTGAAGTTGGCATACCTTAGGGTATGTCTGCACTAGCCCCCTAGTTCGAACTAGGGTGGCTAATGCAGGCATTCGAACTTGCAAATGAAGCCCGGGATATTTAAATCCCGGGCTTCATTTGCAAGTTCGAATGCCTGCATTAGCCACCCTAGTTCGAACTAGGGTGGCTAATGCAGGCATTCGAACTTGCAAATGAAGCCCGGGATATTTAAATCCCGGGCTTCATTTGCAAGTTCGAATGCCTGCATTAGCCACCCTAGTTCGAACTAGGGTGGCTAATGCAGGCATTCGAACTTGCAAATGAAGCCCGGGATATTTAAATCCCGGGCTTCATTTGCAAGTTCGAATGCCTGCATTAGCCACCCTAGTTCGAACTAGGGGGCTAGTGTAGACATACCCTTAGTTTGACTTACCACAACATCCCCACTGCAGCATGGAGGAAACTCTCCCACTGATTTCCCTTGCTCCTTACAACCCAGTGGAGTATCGGAGTTGATGAAGACACAATCAGAGGTTGATTTAGCGCATCCTTACTAAACCCGCTAAGTTGATCATCACAAGTTCGATCTCCATAGTGTTGATCTCCCAGTAAGTGAAGAGAAGGCCTAATATATAGATTTTTAAGGGAAGAATGCTGTGGTTTAGAAATTCAGGACATACTTTTAAAGCAAATTACCTCTTAGCTCCAGATTATGAAGTTACAGACTTCCGAACTTTTGATGAGGTCAGGGACAATGAGAATTAATAAAATATTCCTAGAACTCAGTCAACCAGGCAGGATAAGTTCATGTCCAGAGCTGCTGATCAAAAAAAAAAAAAGCACATTTCAGTGTCCTTGAAGGCACCAGATATCTTATAGTGCATGGAATCTAATTGCAGAGATGTTTATAGTATTAGTGTTCTTTGTTAACAAATATAGAGAACCAGGTTTGTGAAAGTAAAAGTGCAGCTCAAATGTTACAACCAGTGGCTGTACTAATATGCACTCTGTGTGCAGGTTTCCACAGGTGAACATAAATCTGAGATGAGCATTATATATGAATACAAATACAGTAAAACTCCATTGGTCCGGCATCTGATGGTCCGGCACCATCAGGAACCCAGAAGTGCTCCAGGCAGGCGGACAATTGGAGCTGCTCTGTCCGCTGCTGAAACTGACCAGCGGCTGAATTGGGGAAACCGGGGGCAGAGCAGCTGGAGTGTTGCTGTTAGCTCCCGTAGCGCTGCCCCTCAGCGCTGCGGGACCAACCTGGCAGCACCCCAGCTGTCCCCGATTCAGCTGCTGCTGAAACTGACCAGCGGCTGACTCCGGGAAGCCCAAGGTAGAGCAGCTCTGCCTCGGGCTTCCCAGAGTCAGCTGCTGGTCAGTTTCAGCAACATCTGACTTGGGGACGCCTGGGGCAGAGCAGCTGGGGTGCTGCCGGGTTGGTCCGGTAGCGCTTCTCCTTGGCGCTGTGGGACCAACCCAGCTGCACCCTAGCTGCTCTGCCCCAGCCATCCCGAAGAGCAACTAAGGTGCTGCCAGGTTGATCTCGCAGCACCAAGGGGCGGCATTACCGGACCAACCTGGCAGCACCCCAGCTGCTCTGCCGCAGGCGTTCTGATTCAGCTGCTGCTGAAACTGACCAGCAGCAGCTGAATCGGGGACGCCTGGGGCAGAACCGACGTCACACCATCCCCACCACACCACCCCAGATCCCTCATAGCCCCCCCTTCTGACAGTCTGGCATATCTGATAATTCAGCACCCCCTGGGTCCTAAAAGTGCCGGATTATCGGAAGCTTACTGTACCTACAACCGATAAATCCTGTTACTGTTAGTCTCTTCTTTTACCTATGCCATTTGAGCAAAACCTAAAGGACACTGAGATAATGAAAAGCAGATCTTGCACAGAGAATGGAAAGCACCCTCCTATGTTAAGAGGCATTATCAGATGTATAGGTATTTATCTTTCGTAAACCATAGTTTTAAAACAATTTGTGACATACTTTTGTGTAATACATTTCAATTATCTGCTATTGAACCATACTTGGTTTTATTACTGTACAACCAAAACACCTATGAAAAAGAAAAGAAAATACAAGATGCAGGTCAGGGATCAAAAGCAGATGGATCTTTCAATGATTTGGGATTCCATTATTACTAATGGTATTACTAATGGTATAAACAGCGGGTGAGAGATTATAACAACTAAAAATATAGAAACTTCTTAACTACAAATGACATCAATATAAATATGTGTAGCTTTACATTAACGTCTTTTAACTGAAACACAGCAATTATGTATAACTCATAATTAATAGCAAACATACAATGTTAAAAATTGGTTATTAGCAATGTCATACTCCATTAACACAAGTGTTCTTCCTTCAATATATGTTATTTCTTAACAGACCAGTCATATTCAGAGAGATGCCAACAGTTATCTGTTACAGGTAGGAAACATATTTTACACCAACTTGGTAGACTTCTTCTAAATAGTCTTTGAAGGATTAGAATTTTATCTATAAAAATCAGTAAATTTTTATTTCAGTGTACAGGTACAGACTGGTGAAAAAATGTTTCCGTTGATGCGGATCAAAATTGACAGATGGTCCAAGTAACAAAAATGTTGCTAGAGAACTCGTTAGAGTTTAATTTAAGGATATTTGCTTTGATTATTTTGATGTGTGATATTGACAGTTTGTGTTTTAAGAGTTAGAAAGCTTTAACTTTTTGAATTGCATCCCCTCTTCATTGTGTGATTTCCCCCATAATTTCCTATATATTATTAATTTTTTTTAAATGATAAAAGTACAAAAAATCTAAAAAATATAAATTAATATTAGTCATCAAAATTATAAGAAAATAAAGATTGAATGCTGTAAAGCTTAGTTATAGATAACAAAGATGGAAGTTCAGATGTTGGCTTCCAAAACTGTTGAAGCCATTGTAACTGTCTAATTTTCATTATGAATGTTGCTTTTTAAGGAAGATATGCATTTGGATGTAGATAAAGCCACACAACTAATTGGAAAGTTATTCCATAGGATACTAATATTTAGCCTTTTGTTTTCATCCTCTCAATTGGAAGCATCTTGTTCTAACCATATTGTTGAAATATCCTAGTGCTTTCATTTCAATATATTAGAATATTTTTAAATAGAAAGAAATTATGACATTCTAAAATAATTCTTATTAAAATATGTAGAGCTTTTCTCTACTTGAATCCTTTTCAAACAGGATTAAATCACTATAGACTTTAGGACCATCTTGTGTCTTAAAGGCCAAAGGAACCATTTGATATAGTGCAATTGTAAAGCCAAGACTGCTGCCATAGCTACATTTCTTAAGAGCTTTGTCGACTCAGCTGGTACCTATTCCTGCCACTCTTTTCATAAAAATGCACATCTGTTTGATCAAAACTAGCTTAAATGCTGTAAGACCATCATTTTACTTTACCCAGAGTTTGCAATCTAACATTCATTCCATGGGAATTGGAATGGCAGCTATGAACTCCATTACTTAGAACTCTTATCGGTTTTAGCTACATCTGTGCATAGGTTCTGCAAAAAGTAATTTCTGAAATGTACTTACAGACTTTAGGATCCAAAAGAGTATCTTTATCTTTTCCAAAAAGTTCTAAATTAAAAAATATTCTTTAAACACATCCTTGTGATGGTTGCATGCACTCACCCTGTTGTTTTATTGTTCTAAATATTGTGTCATTGCTTGTATTTTTGTTGCATTGCAGTATTAACAGATCATCAGCATTTAGATGACACCGCACTAAATACTATTTTGAAAAGCACAGTTCCTCAACAGTATCGCATTAGAGCAAAACTGAGAACTTTTAAACCTCAGAACCTCTATCAGTCCGTTAAACTTTATTGTTCAAAATGCAACTCACTGTAAGTTTTTTTTATAACATTAATTAAAAGTTACAAATTGCTCATATGTTTTAGAAATCTTAGATAATCTTTTCAATATTTTCATCTTTCTTGTAACACTGAAGATGGTTTGAATTTAAATCCATTTCGTTTTGAGCAAAGGTTTAGAAGATTACTGAAGTTAGTTGAGGAAAATTAGTCATATGGAATCTGCTTACTAAGTTCTCTTGAATCGCTCCAGGATTCTAGTTTCTCTTTCAGTTTGCAAATTGGACATTTAATTTTGCTGTGGACCTAGAAACAAGATTTACCTAACCCTATTCTAACAATTTTTTGAGTATCCCATCACAATCTTTTTGTGTCCATATGACTATCCATATTTTGGCTTTTAGAATTATAGAATGGAAACTATCAGTACAACTAAAGACTGAGTTTCACTTTATTTTCAAAGTTATTTTATTTAAGTGAAAAAATTACCATTTGAAAACTGTCAGACATCAATTTTGTCTTGGTGTGCAAGTTAAGTAAAATGTCAGGACATTTCTGTTATTTCAAGAAAGTGCATTGAACTTGTTAAACAAAAAATAACATCACTTTACCTTTTAGCATATCATGAAAAGCAGAATAGTCTGATAGGTTTTGTCTGTCCAAGAATATTAGTCTTGGGTTATAATTCTAGGTCTCTCATTAAAGTTCCACATGGCCTTGGAAAGAGTTTTAACTGCTCTCAGTTCCCCATCTTTAAAAGGAGTATAGTGCCTTTCTTATAAAGGAGAATTGTGAGGATTAATAATGTTCTTTCTAGGCTGAGCCTAAAATGTGATGAACTCCCTGCCCCAGCACATGCTTAACTTTAGATTACTCTAATGCTTACAGTTAAGCATGTGCTGAATTGCTTTGAAAAAATGGGGCCAGGCCATTCAGTTTCTTTCAAGATCAACTCATCTGTGTGGTGAACACATCACTGTGCCCTATTATCAGAGCTTAATGGTCCTCTTGTGAGACTTTCTTCCACTATAAACAAGGAGTCCTTTGGCACCTTAAAGACTAGCAAATTACACATTTGTAAGTTTTTAAGGTGCCACATGACTCCTCCTTGTTTTTCCTGAAACAGGCTAACATAGCTACCTCTCTGAATTTTTTTTTTACAATATGCTGTTCATACAGAAGCTTTCAGTCTAAGGTACTTTACAAAAGGAGCTAAATTCTGGCTTCATCTGTGCTCACACTTGTAAAGTCATATCCATAGTGGGGAGTTTCATCCTGTTCTCTGTAGTGGAACTGAGGAGAGGAGCATTCCATCATGCAAGCAGGAAATTCACTATTCCACTTCCCCATCTCTTAAAATGGAAAATAACAGCTAGAGCCCTATAAAATCCACAGATACCTGCTTTAGATCCACAAATATCCGCGTCCACAGAGGTGGATGCAGAGATCCACAGCTCATTTTTGCAGATATGGATGCAGATATAAATTTTACATCTGTGCAGAGCACTAATAATAGCACTACCTACCTCACAGTGCAGCTGTTTAGAATACAAACATTAAAGATTGTGATTTGCTTTTAGAGCTATTGATGAAAAGTGCCAGGAGAGTGAGGTGTCTCAGTTAGGGGCCACATCAGTGAAGGTTGGCGGGGTTGGGAGGGTTTTTTTTTCTTTTGGCTTTTCACTTGTGTGGTCCCCAATTGATTTTTCTATAGGTCAGTGACCCCTAACCCAAAAAACGTTCCCCACCTATGCCATAAATAAGGACAGTGCAGTAGAAAGTGGTCTCAAACAGCTTCAGGGTTTGTATCTTCCCCTTCCCCCCAGAATACATGGTAAAATAGGGAGGGCCAATCTGGGTTTCAACTTTAAGGAGTCATGTACCTGTGTGACCATTTTAGAGCCTATGCCAAAGTCCAGCAGTTTGTGGGAGTTTTTCCATTGCTTTCAATGGGTTGGGATGAAGATGTTAGACTTTAGCTCTGGCAATAGATAGGATTAGCTTTCTCGGCATGAAGCAGTGGACTCATCAATACAGGGGTAGTTTTCCTTGAGCTTATATGTACAACACTTCACACCAGTGCTGAACACCCTCAAACCCTTAAATTGCTACAACTTGTTGAAATTGTCCTTTCTGAAAGATCAGTGTGAAAAAGTGACTCTTCCTGTATATGCTGCTGTTTATTATATTTCAATATCTTGTTTGCTTAAAGTACTGCATTTCATCTACAAGACTATTGGAAGAGAAGTTGCTACTATTTACTTACTGCTTTCTAAAATATTTTTAGGCAAGAAGTTCCAGATGGAGATGATTTTGACTTAATATTAAGAGACTCTGCAGTTACAGCTCCAAATCCAGAAGTACATAATGCATTGTGGTATGATTCTGCTGTGTGGGATGCAGCTAATCAGGGGCAAAGAAAAATAGTTGTTCATTTTGTAAAACACGATGAGCTGCTTCAAGAACCAGAAGATACTTTGATTATGGTAGAAGGTAAGATAATTAAATTACAGTTTTACCACAGTGGTCTCTTCCACTTGATATTTAGGATTTAAATATCTTTTATTTTAAAAGAGAAATTATTTTTATTTAAAAAACAAGCATATCTACTGCTTTAAGAGATGATAAAATCCATTAGTATTTTATAGTTAGAGATGGTTGGCTGAGTCTCCGAAGCTTTCAGATAAAATCTAAACTTCCAATATCATGGGTTTATATTTCTGTAAACTAGACAGGAGTCAAATACCTATGTATCTGATAAATCAAAGCCAAGAAGCTTTCATGGTGCAGTTAGTACATTCTTTTTTCTTTTTCTTTTTTTAATCTCCTGCTGGGCTTCTAGGTAGTTTAAATTCAGATATGGAATATAATTGCAGTCTTACCAAAAATTTTCAAAAGTGGCTGGATAAATAAAAGGCATCTGATCATGCACACGTACTACTAACTTTGTCAGCCTCTGGATGTCAGTGTTGTGTCACATAAATAAACCTGAAGCAGTGTTCTTTTTAATCTCATTGCTTTTTAGAGGAAGAAAAAAAAACTAACTTTAAACAAAGCAGGTTAGACAAAGATATAAATAAGGGTGTTTGAATAGAGCAGTGATTCTCAAAGTGGTGTGGGCCCACAGACGCCTTGCCCGTGAGGTTGAAGCAGCAACACTGGCTTCCTGCTAGGGGAGGGGAGGAAGAAAGCTCCAAGCCTCACTGTGTGATATGGCTTGTGGTGAAGAAGCGGCTCCATGCACTGCTGCTTCCCCCTCCTCTCTCCCCCCTCCCCCCCAGCTAGGGGAACAGCGGCATACAGATGCGCGCTCTGGAGGCTTTCCCTGATGCTCCCATTAACCAGATTCCGGCCAATGGGAGCAGCAGAGTGCCATGTTGCACAGTGCCTGAGAGCAGCGGGGTGTGCGAAGGCAGGTAAGTGCCGTCCTTCCCTTAGTACCCAGACCCTGCACCCCACTCCCCTCTTGCATACCCCCACTGAGACCCAGTACCCTCAGCCTGCTCCTGACCCCTCCCTCTGGCCGGATACCTACCCCCAGCATACTCCTTCCCTCTCCCCCCGGCCAGTGACCCTACCGTCAGCCTACTCCTGCTCCCTCTGAACAGACATCCTATTCCCATCCAGACCTTGCACCCTCACCCCCTCCTGTACACCACCTCCTGCCCAGATCTGCACCCTCATCCCCCACACTGGCAGCCCTGTCCCACACACTGAACCCCTCATTTTGGCTCCACTCAAGAGCTTGGGGTGTTCACAAAGTCCACTAACCTCAGAAGAGTTAATCTGGCCTATGGGAAGTCCTGAACCTTAGTCCTCCCTGTCCCTTGGGGCTGCAGTGCCAGGGGAGTGAGGTGTCTCAGTTGGGGGCCACATCAGTGAAGGTTGGAGGGTTTGGGAGGGGTTTTTTTTTTTTTGGCTTCTCACTCTTGTGGTCCCTGATTGATTTTTCCATAGGTCAGTGGCCCCTAACCCAAAAAACATTCCCCACCCATGCCATAAATAAGGACAATGTTGAAACCTTTTGTGTTGGACATAAATTAATATTTTACTTTATTTAAAATGAAATTTGGTAAACATAAGAACAACCATACTGGGTCAGATCAAAGATACATCTAGCCCAGTATCCTGTCTTCCAACAGTGGCCAATGCAAGATGCCCCAGAAGGAGTGAACAGAACAGGTAACCATCAAGTGATCCCTCTCCTGTCATCTATTTTCAGCTTCTGACAGAGGCTATGGACACCATTCCTGCCCATTTTAGCTAATAAGTATTGATGGACCTAACCTCCATGAATTCATCTAGTTCTTTTTGAACCCTGTTAAAGTCCTGGTCTTCACAACCTCCTCTGGCAAGGAGTTCCACAGGTTGATAGTGAATTGTGTGAAGAAAAACTTTTTGTTTGTTTCAAACTTGATATTTATTAATTTCATTTGGTGACCCCTAGTTTTCATGTTATGGGAACAGGTAAACAACTTTTCCTTATTCACTTTCTCCATAGCTGTCATGATTTTATAGACCTCTATCATATCCCTCCTTAGTCTCCTCTTCTTTAAACTGAAAAGTCTAGTCTTTGTAATCTCTCTTCATACGGCACCCATTCCAAACCCCTAATCATTTTTGTTGTCCTTTCCTGAACCTTTTCCAATGCCAGAATTTCTTTTTTGAGATGAGGCGATCACATCTATACACACTATTCAAGATGTGGGCATACCATGGATTTATATAGAGGCAGTAAGATGGTCTGTGCACTTAATCTGTTTAATAATTTCAATTAATATTTCCTTTTACTGGTTAAATTAAACCATTTTTCCTAGATACAGTACTAGCAAAATGGCTCAGGTGTAATTATATAATTAATGGCGAGTTTTTATTTGTAGCTGGTGGTCTGTGGAAAGGTTTGTGTTGAGCCGGATGGGTCATGGGCCCAAAAGTTTGATAACCACTGGAATAGAGTATAAAAGAAGAAATACTTGCATAGCTTCGCATTCTTAATTTAAAACAAGGTCACGATAGCCAAGTGGATCAATATGGCCAGGGTGAATCACTTGTTCCTTTCTATGGACAGATCAAACCCCTTCTGTTGGCTACTTAGCTGATTATATTACTAGCTTCAATAATAGTCTGCTTTATTATGTGTCCCCAAATTCTGCCACCTGTTGATATAATTTTCTTCCTTTGTAAGAACCCTGTCTCCCCAGTTCTGTGTCTGCTATTTTCTCCTAAAATAAGTAAACATTCTTTTCTCTTCAAGTTACTGAATGATATTAAAGCCCCAGAAGCAGAATGTTTGGATGAATGTGCATGTAGAGTGGAAGTAAAGACACAATTGTCAATCTTCATATACAGGCAGTCCGCGAGTTACGCGGATCCAACTTACATCAGATCCGCAGTTACGAACGGGGTTTGCTCCGTGTCTCCCTGGTCTGCTGGAGACCCGCAGACCAGGGAGACACGGGCGACGGACCGAGATACACTGCGGTCCCGCCGCCCGGGTCCTCCGCGGCTTTGCTCTGCGTCTCCCTGGTCTGCTGGAGACCCGCAGACCAGGGAGACACGGGCGACGGACCGAGATACACTGCGGTCCCGCCGCCCGGGTCCTCCGCGGCTTTGCTCTGCGTCTCCCTGGTCTGCTGGAGACCCGCAGACCAGGGAGACACGGGCGACGGACCGAGATACACTGCGGTCCCGCCGCCCGGGTCCTCCGCGGCTTTGCTCTGCGTCTCCCTGGTCTGCTGGAGACCCGCAGACCAGGGAGACACGGGCGACGGACCGAGATACACTGCGGTCCCGCCGCCCGGGTCCTCCGCGGCTTTGCTCTGCGTCTCCCTGGTCTGCTGGAGACCCGCAGACCAGGGAGACACGGGCGACGGACCGAGATACACTGCGGTCCCGCCGCCCGGGTCCTCCGCGGCTTTGCTCTGCGTCTCCCTGGTCTGCTGGGGGGGGGGGGGCGCAGCTAGTACGCCCCACCCCCAGCAGACCAGGCTTTTCTCCGGACGCCTGTGGTAGAGCAGCTGGGGTGCTGCTGGGTTGGTCCAGTAGCGCCGACTGGACCAACCCAGCAGCACCCCAGCTGCTCTGCCCCAGGTGTCCCCAAGTCAGCTGCTGCTGAAACTGATCAGCGGCTGATTCCAGGAAGCCCGGGGCAGAGCAACTCTGCCTCGGGCTTCCTGTAGTCAGCACTGGTCAGTTTCAGCAGCGGCTGAGTCTGGACACCAGTTCCAACTTACATACAGATTCAACTGAAGAACAAACCTACAGTCCCTATCTTGTACGTAACCCGGGGACTGCCTGTATTTACTACAAGAAGCTTTAGCTAACTAGTTTTTTAACTCATTTTCTTCAGAATACTGACAATGGGAGGTGTCTAAAAAGGATGGCTGCTCACAGAATTTGGGCTTTTTACCTCTTTCATTTACAAGTTCTGAGTGGAATTTTTTGAGTGTTCCCAGATACATCTCCCCTTAATTTTTGCACATGCACACAACAGCAGGTATTCTTCTGGCCAGGGAGATCTAGATAGTGCTCTTCATGATGCATAAGCAGGTTGCTTTAATAAAATGTGAGATTCCCCCTCTCCAGAGACCAAATGCTGAGCCATGTTACTTCCAAGGGATTTTTTTGCCTCTGTTGAGCTGAGAGTTGCAATAGAGATAAATCCAAGAAACAGATCCACTGCTAGGTCAGCCTTTATTTAAACAGCTAATTTGTGGCAAACCTTAAAAAGGTAGAGTTTAAGTTATAGACGGCATTTACCTTACTATGTACTATTCATCTGCTTCAAGTTTTTTATCCAGTAAATTCACTCTAATTAACATCAGCATCAGCTGTTATTAATCCAGCACATTTGTTGATGTTGATTTGTTAGTATACTGAAAACAATTTCTAGATTGACCTTATATTCCAAATATCTTTAAATTATGGAAACATCCCAGTGGTTCCATAGTTAAAGCTATGCTGAGTTTTATGCTTAAAACATGATTTAAATCTTTTGTCTGACCATAACATTTCAAGCATTGTGTGCTGTAGAGGTTGTTGCTATGGCACTGAACTGGATTCTATTTTTGGCTCTGCTGTGTAACCCTGAGCAAGTCATTTCATGTCTCTGTGCCTCTGTTCCCCAAGCTTTATTAATCTTTTACAGTTACATTATAGGTAGGTACTGTCTCTGTGGTACTATGTATTTGTACAGTACCTAGCATAATGGCACCCTGATTTAGTTGGCTTCTCTTGGCACTCATTCATGATAAATAACTGTAATAACAATAACAATAAAATATGAGACAAAGTCATCATTCCTATAATAATGGTTTTGTAAGATCTTAAATCTAATGTAAGCAAAAGTTGTTTTTGCAGAAAATTATTTATTTCAGAAAATACACTGCTATATTTCTTTCCTGTTTTCTATTCATGAACTAATTAATTCAACTGCTATTTATCCAAAAGCTAGTGGTTATTATGTGCCTAACAATAATTACAGGGTTAAGTGTATCAGACTGGTTCTTGCAGTTACAAGGAAACAATTGCATTGGACTAAGGTCAGAGAGTTCCTAGATTCAGTTCAGGAACCATATTAAACAAATACTGCTATGACTGAAAGACATATGGTAGGTTAAGAAATAACATCCCTGTATCACTAAATAAAATGTAACCTGAGTAAAGTTACTTTCAGGTCTGCTATCTTGTTAGCTACTGTTGTTATTATGAAATATATTTAAAACATATTTTATGGTAACTTACAACTTTATACATGTAACCTGTGGATGTGTTAACATTTTGATGTTTTTCCATGTAGTAATGAGAGACTTGTAAAATTTTTGTGGTTGTTCCTATATTTTTAATAGATGCTGTGACAAAGTTCCTCCTTAACCTTGGTGGGTCATGTGCTTTCAGGCAGATTACTTGCCTCAGAGGCTCACAGCAGCCCTCAGTTTTGACACCATCTTCTGTTTGTTGAGCTACTCTCATTATTGACCAGCATGAGAAGAGGGGAAACTTCATAATCTTTGTTGCCACTCCCAATAGTACAGGGTAGGACAAACCCTTGTGCCAAAACCAGTCTCTTTCTAGTACTGAAATGGGGAGCTGGTGGGCCAGCAACCTGAGTCCACCCTCTACTCCGGGTTCTAGCCCAGGAGCCCTGTAATAGCAGCTGTCTGTAATGTTTCTGGTAACCGCTGTATGACAACTACCAATCACTAGGCCACTTCCCCACAGCCTTCTCCAGCACCTTCTTTGCTGCAGGCTTTTTCTTCTGGTACCTGCATGCACTTATTCCTCCCAGATTCTCCACAACTTCTTTTCTCCTCACATTCCTCAACACACTGAGCTACCAGAAAGGGAGCCCTTTTTTCTTCATTGGCCCCAGGTGTTGTGCTTAGTCTAACTCACTAGACTCTGGAAACCCTCCAGATGTCTTGATTGTCCTGATTGATTCTGGCAAGTTCCTGCTGGTTCTGGATTAGCCCTTGATAGTTTACCCTGGGAGCAGAGATTTTCTCAGTCTAGGGCTAATACGCTTTCCTTCAACCACTCTTCTGTATCCCTCTGGCCTGACCCTGTAACAAAAAAGGAGTTCCATCAATACTGGCATGCTTACAGTGATGAATTACAGATGCTGAAATGGATATCCGATGATAGGTCAAAAAAGATGAAGCAAGTAATTTATCATTAAATACAATTAAGTAAACTTTTTTTGTTTTGAATAGGAGTGACGCTAAAAGAAATCAGAAAACTTTCAAGAAGATTTAAATGTATTATACCTGTGAAATCCACAAAAGAAGATCTTGAGTTATTAGACCTTTCAGCTCCTTTCCTTTTGCAAGGGAAAATATGGCATTATGGGTAGGTTAAAAGAAAAAACTGATTTTAGTTTAGAAGTGGTTTAGTAGTTTACAATTAATAGATTGTATGGAAAGTTAGTTTCAATAACTTAAATTCCTGATTCCTCTTTATCTTTGTGTATTGTGTAAATATTGAAAAATCACACCTTCCCAGGGGTCACCTTAGATTTGACGAGAGCAGGAACAATATCTTTGCATTTGGCCGGATGGTAGCTTATTATACCTTTATTGCCCTCTTTGCAAGGGTGTGGATGTGTCTCTTGCAGAGGTGGTTGAGTCTACTATGCAAACTAAATCATGGCCTGTTCATGATCGTTTCACTTGTTCAGAAGATTTATAATTCTGGTGAAAGCTCCCAAAATTTGTTTTGAAGAGAAGCACATCTCATAGCCGGCATCTTGATTAATGGTCACCACAAAGGTCTCCAACCTTTGGTGGGAAGCTCCTTTGGGTAACTTGAAAGTTCATGATGTTTCAAAGTCTCACCTGTGTGTACTTACCAAAGCACAATAAATGAATGCCTTATACAGTAATCTGCTATATATTTGAGAGAGTTTGTGAGTGAGCTTGCCTGTCTGACTGTTCTAAACCTCCTTCAAAATGGTAAGAGCTAAGACCACCAAGTTTGGTATGCAGGTTCCTCTTATAATAACTTAAAGCAATGTAAGGATTTGGTTTTGCCAGGATAATGGGATGTGCCTGGAATGTGATTGTTTCTCATAAAATAGAAAGGGAGGACTCTGCTAGCAGGGGCAGTTATATTGCATTATAACCACCGGGAGGCAGCAAAGGGACAGACATGGGAACCGAGACAGCTATAACCCCATTGGGACAGCTGGAAGAAGGGGTGGAGAAAGGGATAGCTATCTACTTTATATTTCACAGAATTTCTCTGTTTATGTATGTCTATCCCCCAACTGGGAGATATACATCCTTCCCCGGCTGTGCCCATTGCAGTGTCCATGATCAGGCACTTCTCACCTGGCCCCAAGCTGCAGTGGTGAGAGAGAACTAAGGTTGTCCTCTCTCCCCACAGCAGTCTGCATACCAAACCCTTCAGCCCCAGCCCAGTGCAGTAAAGAAAAACAAAATTATTTGAGTTAAGGACCAAGTAAATAGTCTAGTATAAAATATATACCAAGGTTGCTATAGCGGGTGATCTTTGAATTCCCTGACATCTGTGCATTTAAAATCTCAACTTTTGCAATTATCAACAGTTTTATATTTAATCAATGTAGAATTTTGGCATATTGCCTTATTTCCCATGTAACTATCCTAAATCTGAGTGCCATATATTATATGTAACATATTTGAAAGTTATTAATTACTAGCGCATGAAAACAACTTGATATGGACATCTCTCAGCTTAATAGAATTTTATCCACTCACAGTATTTTAGTTGATGAAGATATATAAGTACTCAGGAATAAAAATGAGAGGTTCTTTTAATAGCTCTTCATTAGATTATTTTAGGCACAGGTAAAGCCAAATTCCTATGGCAATAATCTTATAACCCTATGTATTTTAATATATAGTAGAGTTTCAGATTTATCACTGCTGTTACAAAATGGCACTTTGTATTGTTAAACAACAAAAAGCATTTGTGTACGAATATGTTATCAAATGGTATTTGTGCACTGTTGTTAGTCTTTGTTATTCAGTTATGCCCTTCCAGGAGCCAAAATAATTTGCTGTTTGTAGCTGATGATTCATAAGGAGCATGAATGTAGTTTAGTACTTTAAATGTTGTATGAAGCTTCTCTCCCTTAAAAATCTGATTTGGAAACTGCACCTTTTCATAGACTCATAGACTTTAAGGTCAGAAGAGACCATTATGATCATCTAGTCTGACCCCCTGCACAATGCATGCCACAGAATCTCACCCACCCACTCCTGGAATAATCCTCTCACCTATATCTCAGATATTGAAGTCCTCAAATGGTTTAAAGACCCCAAGATGCAGAGAATCCTCCAGCAATGATCCATGCCCCATGCTACAGAGGAAGGCGAAAAACCTCCAGGGCCTCTGCCAGTCTACTCTGAAGGAAAATTCCTTCCCGACCCCAAATATGGCGATCAGCTGAAGCATGAACATGTGGGCAAGCCTCACCATAGTTAGGTTGCCTTGCATCCCCACTGAGTAACTTATTTGAAATAAACTTGTTTGGTGCAGAAGGAAAAAAAAGGTAACAGTGTACAGACTTCCAGGTGATGAATTATCAGTATCTTACTTTAAATGGCAGGTGTAAACAGTGCTCGAAGCAGAAAACTATCCAGAGTCTCAGTTCCCTTGCCATAGAAGAACAACCATCGTGGGAGCCCACTGAAATAGCAAAAGGTTAGCTAACATCATTATGACCTGAAATGCATTGTGCCTGGATTCTTAAGGGTAGATTCCAGTTATCTCACTGAATGGATTACACTTTTGTTTAGATCTTTGTATTTCCTATGGATGCATGTATATGGAGCTATGCAATTATTTACACCGTATGGGCTGGAGTAGAATACATGATTACATTCTTAAACTCTTATATTAAAGATTAACTAAAAAACTTTTTACCTGTTGGAATGTGAGCGCATTGTCTAATGTTTATGCGATAGTAGCTGGCATTTTTAACAATTATGACAGTGCCAGTGTAACACATCTTCAGTTACATACATACAGATGTCTGTGAGGTATACACAAATATGTACCATACATAAGTCTTTCTTTTGAGTTAAATGTGAATATTCCTTAGCTGTAGCGATAGTAAGATTTATTTTTTTGTACACCCTAATGCTATGAAGCAAAAATTCTAGCCTACTACATTATCCAGGGAACTGGTGAAGAGCTAATTGCCCAGATCAATAGGGTTTTAGCCCATAACTCCCATTTTTGATTTTGGAAATCTCCCTATATATTCCTTGTGTTGTTTTAGGTAGTTTCATCAACTGATTAAAGGAAAGTAAATGGGAAAAGATGGGGAAAGTTTGAACTGTTTCTAAATTTAATTAATCATCACTGAGTGGTTAGATCATGGCAGCATAAACTATGTACAAGACCAGGAGTGGGCAAAATATGGCCCGTGATCTGAATCCAGCCTACCAAGCCATCGGATCCAGCCCATGGATGCATCAGGGAGCCTGAGGCAGGTTCCCTGCTTGCATCGCCCCCACATTTACACCACTCAGAAAGGCGGCTGCTGGGCTGTTTCCCTTTCAAAACTATGAGCCCAGAAAGGAGTGGGGGAAGGCTTCAGGCACTGTCCCCACTCTCAGCACAATCCCATTGGCCGGTTTCTTGCCAGAAACCATCCAATGGGAGTTGCCTGTTTCAATAACAGGCAATCACAAAGCATCACACTCTCTCCCCTGGTTTCCTAGTTATTCACACACACACATGGTACTGCAGCTTGTGTGGGGGCTGGATAGACAGGCAGGCTGCCTGAGAAACATGCTGGGCTGCTGGCTGGGAGAGGTAAGTCTCCTGGCCAGAGCTTTCCTCTGGCACCTCAGGTTCTCCCTTCCCCAAGCCTCTGTCTCCCACTTCTGCACCCCTACTCCACATACCCAAACCCTCTGCCCCCCTTCTATACCCTCCCAGACCCTGCCCCCTAATCCTCTGCCGTAGGTCACAATCCCCTTCGCTAGGTCACAACCCAAACCACTGTACCCCAGTCCAGTGCCTCAGGTCACAACTGCTTTCTTCACCCAAATTCCCTCCCAGACCCCACAATCTCTCCTGCACCGCAGTCCCTTAAGCCACGCCTCCTTCTGCACCCAACCTCCGTCCTAGACACCACATCTCCTCCATTAATATCAGGGAAGAGAACAGCCCTTGATCACTTACCAAATTCTTGGAGTGGCCCCCCATCAAAAATTATTGTCCACCCCTGTACAAGGCTATCCTAAGTACAAGGTAGCACATTTCTTTCTTTATATGTAAATACTTGATCAACTATTTATTTTGCCCATAATTGTTTTATTAAAGATAACACAAGTATAAAATGGAAATGTATATAAATGTCTGTAATACAAAAATAATGCATATAATATAGAACTTATATTTCTATTAAAATGTCTGGTTCACATGAAAAATACAAAGGTCCATCAGGCAAGAAGTACCAGTTGTTATATTCAAATATCTTTGGGGTGTTACGAGCCCAAAGTGCAAAGTCTTCCTTATTTTACAATTGTGCATTCCTTTCAATGGAATCTAGACACTTTTTAAATAAAATGTCCTGAAAGTAGTCAAGTCTGGAATCATCAGGGGATATTAAGTATTGCTTAAATAGGTCATTCACCTTTTTCTTGAAATAAACTTTAATAGTGTTTCTGTGGACATGTGTATTCTCACATAACTCTTCAAACACATACTGCAGTTATTTTTACATTTATTAATTTGTTTTTAAAAATATGTGAATATATTTCTAGTTTTAGCTTATAATAGATCATTCACACATAGAGTCATAGAAATGTATGGCTAGAAGGAACTTCGAGAAGCTATCTAATTCATCCCCCTGGAATAATGTAGGACAAACTAAACCTAGACCAACCCTGACAGGAGTTTGAATAACTTGTTTTTAAAACCTCCAAAGCCAGGGAAGCTTGGAAGCTTATTCTAGTAGGGTATGTCTACACTACCCCCCTAGTTCGAACTAGGGTGGTAATGTAGTCAACCGGAGTTGCAAATGAAGCCCGGGATTGGAATTTCCCGGGCTTCATTTGCATGTTGCCGGGCGCCGCCATTTTTAAATGTCCGCTAGTTCGGACTCTGTGCCCCACGGCTACACGCGGCACGAACTACCTAGTTCGTGCCGCGTGTAGCCGTGGGGCACAGAGTCCGAACTAGCGGACATTTAAAAATGGCGGCGCCCGGCAACATGCAAATGAAGCCCGGGGAAATCAAATCCCCGGCTTCATTTGCAACTCCGGTTGACTACATTACCACCCTAGTTCGAACTAGGGTGGTAGTATAGACATACCCGTACTTAACTACCCTTGGCGATGGACATATTTTTTCCTAATATCTAATCTAAATCTCCTTTTCTGCAGAGTATGCCCATTACATCTTGTCCTGTTTTCAGTAGACTTGAAAAATAATTGATCACTGTTGTGATGCACACACCCTGCTTGTGTTCAGGCATGACTAGGAGTTGCATGGATGCCACGATAATCTCTACATCTATGGTGTGGCCTCCAGGCGTCATAGTCATCACAGTCCAAGGGCAAGGGCATTGACTCCAGTGCCCCTAGACTACTGTGGCTTATTAGAATCAGTAGCACACCCCTTCACCATGGGGCAGTATGGCCTAATAACTGAATTCAGTAGAGTAGCCCTTCTCTGCAGGACAGCATGGCCTAATACCCAGCATACCTCTTCACCGGGGGCAGCATAGCCTAATAGCCAAATTCAGTAGAGTAGCCCTTCCCTACAGGGAAGTGTATCCTAACACCCAGAGTCTCTAAGGACCTCCACCAAAGGTAACTGGCGACTCGGGAATGGAGGACTTTGTGGAAGCTGAGCAAACTGCCACCGGCTTAGCGGAGATTCCCACTGAAACACACTGAGCTCATTCAAGTGGCAGGTACCACTCACTCGCCTACTCTGGGTTGTTGCCTAATGTAGCTGGTGCCGAGACAGTCCAAGAGGTCTCAGGATTTCCAGGTCTCTCAGGGCAGGCTGCTCGCTGGTGCTCTGTCAGCTATGGAAGTACACTCTGAGCCCCTGGATCCTCAGAACCAGCAGGGTGGATCTGTGGCTGGTTCTCAGCAGGAGCTTCCACCACACATCCTTCCTCTCCAGCATCCTTCCAAGACTGAGCTGAGATATTTCCCTTTATACAGAGCCAGTATGTCGAGCATGCTCAGTACAGTCATAGGGATGGGAATTCCTCCACTTGAAGTGTGGTGTTAGCCCCTTGTGGCCTAGTGCAAGATATGCTTACCCCATCACAAGCTCTATCCTCATTATAACAGCCATAAATATATATGGTCTGGTAGCACTAACAAAACATGTAGAGGATACCATGGTATCATCTACCTGTTTTGTTAGTCTATGAAGTGCTACCAGACTATTTGTTGTTTTTTTCTGTAACAGACTAACTCGGCTACCCCCTGAAGCTCTCAAATATATATGAACACTGTTGCTGGGTCCTTCTTCAGTATTCTTTTCTCAAACTAATATGCCCAATTTTTTTTATCTTTCCTCATATGTCAAGCTTTCCAAACATTTCATCATTTTTGTTGTTGGAGTCTCCAGTTTGGCAAAATATTTCTTAAAGTGCAGCATCCAGAACTGGGCTTAGTAATCTAGCTGTCTCTTGACCAGTACCAAGTAGAGCAGGACAACAACCTCTCAAGGCCTATTATATGAGATATACCTGTTTATGCACCCCAGAATATTAGCCTTTTTCATAACTACACCAAATTGCCTCTCATTCAATCTGTGATTCACTTTAACCGCCAGACCCTTTACTGCAGTGCTACTTTGTAGCCAGGTACTTTGTTTTGTAGTTGCACCTTTACTTTTTCATTCTCAAGTATAGTATTTTGCTTTTCTTGTTGCTGAATTTCATGTTGTTGATTTCAGACCAATTTTCCAGTTTGCCATGATCATTTTGAAATCCTGTCTCCAAACTGTTAGAAACCCCTCCCACTTTAATGTGATCCACAAATTTTATAAGCATACTCTCCATTCCATTATCAAAGTCATTAATGAAAATATTAAATACTATTAGATTTAGAGCAGGTGCCTGCAGAACATTTCTAGGTATCCAAAATGATATTCAAAATATAAACCATACACATATTCTCAATTAAAGTTAGCTAGGAGAGAGAATGATTGGTAAGTAGTTTCAGTAATTATATACCTAGTTTTTAGGGTTTTTTTGTTTGCCAGATGACACAGTTGATATCAGTCAAGAATGTACCTAGCAATTAAATTTTCATAGCTGGCGTTAGTTAGATTAAGAGTACCAGTCAGGCAGCTTTTTTATTGTATTGTGTTGCCTAGGAATGTTAACTATATCATATGGACTGAATTGTTTTCCCATAGATAATATATTTCACTATATATAGTACAATATGTTAGTTTAGAGTATGATCTTATTATCATTGAACCAAAACCAGAATTCTGACTGCTTTCAGTGGATGATCAAGTTATAAGAGATTCTACCATATATAGTCAAGGATGGGTATGTATGCAGACATTTTACTAGAGAGAAAAGATTCTTTGAAGCATTTTCTGTATTTTTCTAAACCTTTGAGCAAAACTGAATTTCCATACTAATGTGGCACTGTATATTTAAATTTTTTGTTTTTTCGTTCTCAAAATCTCTCATTTTACCTGCAACCGAAAATGTTTTCACTTAGTATATAATAATGTTGTCATAAAACATATTTTATAAATAGAGCTATGTGAATTTTATGAAAATGCATTTTTCACCGAAAAAATACAGATTTTCTTCAACCAATACAGCAAGTTCATGTAGATTGTAGTGACTTTTTTTTTTAAATGGAGGACATGCTTTTCATTTCAGAAATGTATTTTGTTTTGGAATTTTACTTAATTTTGTATAAAACAAAAAACCTTAAAATAAAACAAAATATCTAATTATAGGTTGAATGAAACATTTCCATTGTTTGCCTTAAAAACATCAGGTTTTTTGTTTCAGGTCAGCCTGAATAGATTGTGTTGTTTATTTTTCAGTCCAGCGTTGAACAGAAAAATCTGTTATTCACACAGCTCTATTTATAAATTCATACCCTCCACCCTTTCAATGTATTAGATTATATTTTAAAATTATAACCTTATAGTAAGTCACATGATTTAAAAAAAAAAGACTATTTCGGTTACTTTTTGTTGTGATAATTTTGTCTTAAATATTCAGTACCTAATGCGAAATATTTTTCCCACACTAGTTTTGGGTATTGAACCACTCCAGTATGTCTTCGTTATGAAGTTTACGCTTGATGATGGAACAGGAGCACTGGATGCATACCTCTTTGATTATGTAAGTAAACAGAAAGTACATAGATGACAGTTCTTGTTGCATTTGGTCACAGAGATGTTTGCATATGTATATGAATTTGTGCATTCTCTTTGTCATGTGCAGTATTTTAAAGCAAACTATTATAGTGTATAAAAAGATCACCACTCCCCATTGATGAAAATGCTGTTTATATCAATACCAGATAAAAGGTTAAATGAGAGAGTTAAAATGGGGGATTTAAAATGGAACTGAAGAGAGGAACTGCACTGGGGGTTGTGACAATGCCCTTCCCCAGAGCACAACCTAGACTGTGGGGGATTGGTGTGTCCCCTTTAACTGGCTGAATCAGGGTACTCTCACACTGTTCTGCTAATGACAAGCAACCCATTTTGGATTTCCTCTCATGCAGCCATTAGCATGTAAAGGCACACCCAAAATTACATTCAGGCTCTCTCAGCATGTCATGAACTACTCACAGAGTCTCATTTTACATTGCTCAAGACCTTGATTAGTGAAAACTCATTAATTAGTTCACCTCTTCAAAGGATAGTGGGCATGCTCCAGCCTTTGTAATCTGAGCAGATTACCAGTGAGTTTGTCTAACATCTCTGGGAAAGATCAAATATTAAAATAAGTATATTAACTACAGAATGAGAGAGTTTAAGTGAATATAAGTGCTAGGCATAGAGAAATAAAATGACATTTAAATCCTAAACTTCATCAAACTAAGCAAGATACAGTGTGGGCCAGGAGAACGGCCTCGCTTGCTAGGAGCAGCTGCTGCCGGGAAGGATGCTTCAACAGAGAGCCAGTATAGGAATTCTCATTTGCATGACTGAAAATATACAACTTAATATTACTAATACAGCAGAGTCCCTGTCATCCGATCTAAACGGGACCAACACATGGTCGGATTACCGAATATGTCGGATGATATGGACTCTATTGTAGAAAGCAACGGAACAGCTGATGCCGCTCCTGCTGGGGACATCCCCCGCAGGAGCGGCATCAGCTGTTCCGTTGCTTTCTACAATAGAGTCCATATCATCCGACATATTCGGTAATCCGACCATGTGTTGGTCCCGTTTAGATCGGATGACAGGGACTCTGCTGTATTAGTAATATTAAGTTGTATATTTTCAGTCATGCAAATGAGAATTCCTATACTGGCTCTCTGTTGACTGCTTGTTCTGAATTTTAATGTATTTTGGCTCTTTCATTTGAAAAGGTTGATGGCCCCTGCTTTATATCCTCAGTTCATGTGTTTGGAAAAATATTGGCTCAAACACGGAGTCAAGTATCACCTCTCCTGATACCTTGATGAGTCACTGAGTTAAACAATCCCCACTGTGTAGCACATGAGGATCTTTTTTATTGAATTGTAAATCTCTTGTTTGCAATGCACCTGCTGGTGTGAATGGCTGGTGAGGGTCGCTTAATATGCATCTGAGTGTGGTTCACCCCTTTGTTGACACTGGAGAGCTTGCTATAGGTATTTTTCCTAAACTCCCAACATATTAGAGTAATAACCATATAGTAAAATCTCATAACTGCATATACAGTGATGATACACATATTTTGACATAACAGTGAGTTTCAGCAAATTATGACTTTTCACGAGAGATCTTAAAAGGCATTTTTGTGAAAAATATCATAATCATACACAAGGGATTAATGTGGAGGCTACATAAGGTGGTAATTTGAAATACATTGTCACAGGGATATAGAGTATGTTGTGTTTCCACAAAGTGCCTAGATAAGTTCGCTGAATTTCTCTTTGTCATGGTGTTAAAATCACCCTCTGTGATTGCTTTGGATGTGATGCTTGAAAGTCATTGAGAATGACTATGGAGTGGGGAGGGGTGTTAGCACAGGATTATGTAACTACTCTGACAATTCTAGTTCCTTACTTGGTAAATTGCTGCCAAAACCATATAGCTGTCCAACCTTTACATCTAGTTTTTTGATATAGAAGTTTAGGTAATAGGAGTTCTTGCTTGATTGACTAGCGTCTCTTAGATTGTATTCATCTAGCCACCAAATAAATGTTAGTTCCTGCTCCCAGAAAGATAATTATTTGGCGTACTTAGACACTTGGTCTCCACATTTACCATAGGTTTATACATTCACTCAGTGAGACTTACACGTTTTGCTTAAATTACATGCCTCCTTTTCCCAATTTTCTGAAATAGAAATAGCATTGATATGTGAGGGATTAGCTAAATGATTCCGTGCTTTTTAAATGCAAAATATTTTTCATATGCATATGTAATAGATGTATTACTGTGTGGAAAAATAGAAGATCCTTTTTCATACATTCACAATGGCAGTTATACTAGTCATGAGTACTGTGCATTAGGATGTAAGAGTATAACCAGTTAACCAATAAGCATTGGTTTATCAGTTCCAGTTGCAGTTAAACTCATCTGCCGATGCACGCCAGCTGCCAGCTCCGCTCCTAGGAGCCAGTTGCCACCACGTGTTTTCTACTGCAGAGCCCACAGCACAGCCAGCTCCTTGAGAGTAGGGCTGGCAGCCAGGAACTGATGTCTGGCCTTCAGCACAGGGCAGCAGCCGGCTCCTTGGGAGCAGGATCGGCACCTGGGAGCAGGCGCACAGCCTGCTGTGTGGAGCAGCAGCCAACTCCCTGGGAGCAGGGTCAGCAATCAGTGTGCGTTGGAAGCCAGCTTATTTATATAATATGTACCGTTTGCCAATTCATTCCCAGGGGAGCCGGCTGCACTGCAGGCTCTGCAGTATAAGCCTTAGCATGTATAACTGCTAAGATTTTTGACAGTTACTTTTTTAAAATGTTTTTATATCCCTACTCTGCATGTCCCATATTTTGTGTATCTGGGCCTTCATACTTCATTTAAATAGCTGTTTGTGTGCAATAGACATTTATTTTGGTTGCCATTTGGTTAGTGCATACCTGCTGATAATTTCAGATAGTAATGGAAACTTTAAGAAGTCTGAGGGCTTTGACAGGATGAAAAGATATCAATAATGCTAATCTGAGATAGCATTATATTTGTTTTATATTACACTGCAGCTTTGGAATTATCTAAAGCCAGCTGGGCTTTTTTGGTCCTCTGTTTCACAGCTTGGAACTTCCTCACCTCAAAAAATATATACAAATTAATATATAAATATATATTTTACCAACTGTGCCAACTGGCTTCCAAATAGACAGTAAAAGGCAAATATTTTTCTCTTTCTTTATTTAAAACATTCTGTATAACAGGTTAAAAGGCTCGTCTCTTAATATATGAAGGCCTTTAGTTGCAAAGGAAACTGAAGCCCAGCAGTACCTACGTTTTTTCTCTTCTTTCCTTTCTGCTGCACCTCTCCTCTTCTTTGAAAGTTGTTCTTTTAAATTGACAAATGAATCTGGAGGAGCTGCTGAGTGCCACAACTGTGCTGTGAGAGAGAAGGGAAAAGAGGAGGGGGAAATTTTCTTTTGAAATGTCATATGCACTTCAAAGGGAAACTTCCATTTTCCTCTGCCCAGACTAAGGTGTTCCAGCAGTGCTTGAGAAGAAGATGAACTGCTTTGAAGTATAACTTGAAACTAGCTTCTCCTCAGATGTTTATAGCAATGCTGCCAGTTAATTTTCTTATCCTGATAGTTGAAGTTAAAGGAGCTGGGGAGAAGATTGAGCCAAAATTATGGGATGGTGGTGGGAAGAACTTGGAAGGAAAAAGGGAATAATCTTAAACTGGTCCTCTCTGACCCTTTCCCACCTTTTGGTAATTTTCCATTAAACTTCTAGTATAAAAGTTAAACTGAGGAGAAAGTATTCTCACATTAATTCGTGTAAAAGAAAGTGTGAGTTGAACATGAGTCTCTGGACATAAAACGTATTGTTATTTAGTGCTTAGAGGTTGATCAGGAAAGACCCTGTTTTGCTAGGTGACAGGTCAGCTGGGTTCTAGGGGGAGGGAGTCAAGATTGGGCAAGAAATGTGGGGGGAAGGGACACAAAATGAAATTCTAGTCCAAGTTATGTTAACATAATTATGCTATAGTGAAAATTGGTATACAGCTCCCCCACTCTTTTGTTTCATCATTCTGCATGCTCTACTTTTTATAGTGGGAGAATAAATTGTTTAAAACCCACTCACATCTTTTAAAACAGAAGAATGAGAATTCTACTAATATAGGTTCTGATTCTTCTATCCTTACTCCTGTTTTATCTTACTCCTTGGGATTTGCATTTATAGCCATGGGAAAATTTGAGGAGTAAGGTATTATTGAATTTAAGGATAACAAAATTATGTCTGACTCATTTCTGTCTGTCTGTCTATCATACTTAGATGCTCCAATCACTGGAGCTGGGCAGTTTAGAGGAGGAATATTATTTTTGCTAAAAAATACATTTGGGGGGACTCTGAAACGATTCACAAATTTGTGCTGAATTTGTCAAATAGTTTTTCCAAGAAAAAAAAAGAAAACAATATCAGAATCAAAATGTTTCATATCAACCATTTGAAAACATTATTTTGACATTTTATGAAATATTTCTTTTTTACTTTCATTATGAATTAATCCATTTTAAAATTTTGTCCAACTGAAAATTATGAAAATCACAGAATGATGAAAAACATCCCAAGCTGACTGAATCAAAAGAAAAATCTTAAAGAAATAATAGTGTGTCTACCTAAAACATTTCAGTTGATTCAAAACAGAAAAAAAAAAGTGGAAAACTGAATTTCAGTTTAAATCAAATGAATTTGTTTTGTTGTTCCCACATTTTTTGGTTCCACCCCCCTTCCAACTGAAATTATTATTCACTCGGCTCTAATAGTATCTGTGCACCTCATAATCTTTAAAGGATTTAATCTTAAACAGCATGGCTACGTCTACACTGGCCCCTTTTCCGGAAGGGGCATGTAAATTTCACCAGTCGTCGTAGGGAAATCCGCGGGGGATTTAAATATCCCCCGCGGCATTTAAATAAAAATGTCCGCCGCTTTTTTCCGGCTTTTAAAAAAGCCGGAAAAGAGTGTCTACACTGGCCCCGATCCTCCGGAAAAAGTGCCCTTTTCTGGAGGGTCTTATTCCTACTTCAAAGTACTTTGAAGTTAAACTGAGGAGAGTACTTTGAAGTAGGAATAAGACCCTCCAGAAAAGGGCACTTTTTCCGGAGGATCGGGGCCAGTGTAGACGCTCTTTTCCGGCTTTTTTAAAAGCCGGAAAAAAGCGGCGGACATTTTTATTTAAATGCCGCGGGGGATATTTAAATCCCCCGCGGATTTCCCTACGACGACTGGTGAAATTTACATGCCCCTTCCGGAAAAGGGGCCAGTGTAGACGTAGCCCATGTGTGTTAATACGGTGGTATTTCACTTTTTTTGGTGGTCTGAGTCTTTGAGCACACTATATGTCTCAAGGTTAATACCATACGCACTCCTGCTCTGGTTTGTTTTTGTCTGTGTCTGATTGTTTTAAAAATACTGAACTGAATACTGAACTTCCTTTTGTCATTTTAGTATCTTCATAAGAGCTTACTAAAATGACTCTAACTAATGACGCCTAATTTATTTATTTTTATTTTTTCTCCTCAAAACCCTTCCACTTTGCTCAGGAAAAGTTTTTCCAGATTCCTGCCTCTGAAGTCCTTACCAGTAATCTTCTTCAGGAGAAGATGGAAATGATCATGAGTATGCTTTGTCCTTCAGGAACAAAACTAGGTCAGCTGTCACTTTTTGTTATCTACTATGAGATTTGTAAAGTTAAGCTGAATGCGCCATTCATTTATTATAAATATGATGAGAGCACAGACCAAATTCAGTACTACAAAATTGTAAGGAAATTGTTACTTACATTTGTGTAAAGTATCAGAGGGGTAGCCGTGTTAGTCTGAATCTGCTTAAACAATGAGAAGTCCTGTGGCACTTTGTAAACTATGAGATTTATTGGCGCATAAGCTTTCATGGGCAAAGAATTCAGTATATCATTTCTTTGTCTTACCTTGGCTGGGGCAGAGCAATTGGTAACTAATCTCTCCCGTAACAGTGACTTCTCATAGTGAAAGCGGGAAGCTTTTTGTGTGGTTTCTTCCCCCAAACCTTCCTCAACCCACTGCTATGGGCACCCGCATGGCCCCACAATACGCCAACATTTTTATGGCTGACCTGGAACAACGCTTCCTCAGCTCCCGTCTACTTACACCCCTTCTCTACCTATGCTACATCGATGACATCTTCATCATCTGGACCCAAGGGAAGGAGACTCTGGAAGAATTTCACCATGATTTCAACAGCTTCCACCTCACCATCAACCTCAGCATGGATCAATCTACACGGGAGGTCCATTTCCTGGACACCACGGTACAAATAAGTGACGGTCACATCAATACCACCCTATACCGAAAACCTACCGACCGCTACACTTACCTGCCTGCCTCCAGCTTCTATCCTGGACACACCACACGATCCATTGTTTACAGCCAAGCACTGAGGTACAACCGCATATGCTCCAAACCCTCAAACAGAGACCTACACCTACAACTGATCACATGCATCTGATGAAGTGGGTCTTTGCCCACGAAAGCTTATGCTCCTACACTTCAGTTAGTCTATAAGGTGCCACAGGACTTCTCGCTGCTTTTACATTTGTGTAGTGTATTACCATTGGTTTTCTTTTTTAAAAGAAGGGTCTTTGGAAACAGGAGTAATAATTCAGTCACTATAGAGGCCATCAGGATGTACTGTTCATTCATGCTGATGTAAATTCAGTATTCTATACACACATGTATATCCAGGCAGTGTTAGACGTGTAATTCACATTCACATGGAAGTTAACCAGAACACCTTTATTTAAAATATCACAATACCCTAGTGAAAATTAATGGAGAATTCAGTCTGAGCCCCTCACTTTAGGCTTTATTTCTTCCATTGAATGCACACACAAAGTTGGAGCACCCTTTCCTGCAGGAAACCCCTATGGAAAGTGATGCAGGGTAAGGAAATCTCCTTGAAGATCTCATCAAAGAGTTCCTTTGGGCATTTCATCTGGGGCATCAAGTGGAAGCTACCACTAGGCTGTCCGCATAGATCTGTTTGTCTTTGCCATAACTCTGATACTTAGGAGCCTGTTTCCTCACAGTGCAAGGCCAGTGCACCCATGCACTCTTGTTTCTGGGAACCATCGACTACCTAATGCAGAGGGTGTTCCATGGAATGGAACATATATTTCAGCAGTGCATTATCTGCTCCATATATAACCCTTTGGTGAGAACAGAGGGAGAATAATGATGCAAATCCCACTCTGCTGTCTCCTCCTCCAGTGTTTCTCAGCAGAGACTAAACAACTCTGTATGAGAAAATTCAAAATCCTTTTTTAGTTTTCCTACTAGTCACCTGAGTAGTGTTACTATTCCTAGTTAAAGGCTATGTTGAAGTTGCACTTTTTTTTTTATAAAAGCTGAAAATATATGTCAAAATGTACACTTTGTTTTTGATTTGTAGATGACTTACCATGGTTGGAATGCTTCATCAGGTCTTACAACATCAGAGATGGAATGGAACAGCAAGTCTGCTATCAAATTTTTGACACTATGGTTGCTGAAGATGTTATCTAGTAATATGTATTATAAGAGATTTATTAACATGGATTACAAAAATGTTGAAGTTAAAAATACCATAAAAGCTTTTGTATAACATATTGTGTTCTGTGTTGAGAAATAATAATCAGGAAAGCAAATGTCTTTTTTTGTTTGTTTGTTTTTGCATCTCACCTGTGTACTAAGGCTTTAGCTCTTATGTTCCTGAATTAAAATTAATTGGACATAAGAGGTATTTATGACTTGCCCTGGGCTAATCCAGTGAGTCAAGTAGTAGTTAAAGTGCCCAGCACTTCATGGGAGTGGTAACTATGTGGTAGAGACTGTTAAAAGTAGGTTAATAGCCAAAGGTTTCAAGCTATTACATCCTTGAAAATTATCATTGACCTAGAGTCAAATTTAAATGGACATTATAAAGTATAAATGTTTTGTAATATATGAAGAATAAACATGATTGTGCTCTGTTTATGAACCTATTTTAATACGAAAGAGTAAGTGATTTGAGCAAAGCTGGGGAAACAAGGCTCTTCCATTAACTTGTGCTCCCTCACTTTATTCTGTACAAATCTATTTTAAGATTCTAAAAACACATGGGCTTTTTCCTTGCTTTAATTTCTCATTGATATGTAGATTGTAGTAAGCTCTTCCTGCAGTCCTGATGCATGCAAGTAGTGTCCTTGACCTCAGTGGATCTATTTGCATGAGTTAGAATTACTGATCTGATTTAGAAATACAAAGTCAGGCCATAAAATCAGGGATATTTAAAATATTAAAATGAATACTAATATTTATTATATTGTGAGGATGGTAAAGTCAGATATATTTGGGGTCATATTTGACATCACTTCTTCTTTAAATTGTGTACGTGCAGAGGTTCTTGCACATAGTTTGACTAAATTTAGAATCTGATTATACTGTCTTGATTGCTTTTCTCTTTTGTGTAATTAGATTGGTTGGCCAAATTTAGAAACATTTTCAGGCCAATCAGTGACTAGCTGGAAACCACCGTGGAAACAGTACAATTGCTTTTACCTTGCATTCTAAAGTATTTGCCCCAAATTCAGACTAATTTTCTAGAGAATAATTTTAATGTAAAAGTTCTCACTAGGGGAATATGTTTCTTGTCAGCAAGGAGAAAAATCACGTAACACTTGCAAGGAGGATTTTTTTAAAAGGGAGCATGGAGATATTTAAAATAGTATTTATAGTTAACTAGTACTAGGATACTAAATCAAATTATTTTGCAGTGTTCTAAGAGAGATTTAGTAGAATAAACTATTATGTTCACTCACTATTTCATCCAATTATGAATAGATTTAATGTATTATTCTAAAAATCTCTCCGAGCCATAGAAACATTGAGTCATAAACCTAGACATTATATGCTTTATCAGTTATCGTGTAGATAAAAGGTTCATCAATATGGGTAGATGATGGGTCACTTTCAAGGCAAGGAGAAACTGTCAGCCTGATTGAATGAGACCATCAGCTTGCCAAGCAAGGAACAACACTGGCAATTGTTCCGAGAGGAGCTGCTTGCCTCCCTTTGGCCTGATGAGAGATATGATAAGTGAATTATTTTAATTTCTGTGTAATTAAACTCCTGAAGCACTCATAAATAAGAAATATACAAGTTCTTGCTATGTAATGGGTAGTTTATCACTAAAACTATAAAGCAGACCTCTTTTCGGATAAGATTTGTATAAAAGCCTATATTTCTGGTTGGGTTACATGACATAAACCATATCATGAACTGCAAAATCATTAGTAAAAAGTATGTATGAAATTGTAACTGTTTTTATGTAAATAAAAAGTCATGTTCTTGTACATCGTTGCAGGCATTAGTATCTCTCTATATATACAAACATTTTTCGTGCCAGATGACAGAATGACATCATCAGCCTAATTGAAAGTGGAGTCTCAGCATCTTGTTTACTTGCAGTTCAACCAGAACCAGCTGCAAAACTGAGTTCTGGCTATAGATCCATCTGTAACACATAGTACGTGAGCAACAGACCAATTAATCCTTTTTTTTCTATACAGCTTTGTTTGTTCATTTATCTATATAAACAGTGCAAGGATTAACAGGCTGTCTGGCTGTAAAAGCTGCCAGAGAGGAGAGGAGTGTTGGTGAGCGTAGCAAGCATAGAGTACAGCCTCCGTAATACATTTTAAAGTAAACCTGTTGAAAAGTAATAGATTAGTATATATAAGACTTACACTTCAGTGTAAATTTGTTTTCACTATCACTGATATTTGAGATTCTTAGCAGAACATTTTTAAATCATTTAATAATTGTAGATGTAGCATTTAAAGTGGTCTGGCTATTGAATATTGTAAGTATTTAGCTAATTAATAAACATATTTTAAAATAATGAGCTCTTTGCTCAGACTTAACTTTTGAATATCTGTTCTCAAAAGTACAAAAACTTCTGCTGCCAATGGCCTTCATCCAACAAAGCGCATTCTTAGATTCTTAGATTCTTTGCTGATTTGGAACCTAATTAATGAATTGTCATGTCAGATGTATTTTATTTGAAATTTTCAATGCTCACGGAAGATTTGAATTTGTTACAACCACTGTTCACAAACTTGTCTCAGTGTTGACAGATCCTTCTGTAGGTGTGATTGAGAAGCGTTCTGTCTCCTTGACTGTTTTATTCCTTATATGTTTCTGTGGAGCAGCCAACTTGGAAGTCAGCTGGGATAGTAACTTCATTGATACAGACAGTTTCTACTCTAATCTGAACTGAGAGCATAAACTCATTCTAACTTCCTGTGGGTCACACCTTTTACAGTAATGGACCAGTTACCATCTTCTTCATAAAAGCAAGAAATTCTGTCTCCCATTTTCAATCCCTTGGTCACATTTTCTGGTTTCTGAAACACATTTTAAAATTAAATCAAATGTTCCTTGCAGAACTGACTAAATGAGATAGCTGAGGTCCATCGGTGTAGTAGTATTTCTCCATAGAATTAATTTGTTACAGATGTATTAAAATGTTAAGTTTACATTTGATACAATGAATGTGGAAAAAATCAGAATGCTTTGAATGGGGAATCTGATATCTGCAGTTTGTCATGGAAAGCAGAAAATGTCATTTAACCCTCACTTTCTTTTCCTTCTGCCATTCCCCAATAATATTCAGTGTTTCACCACTTTAAAATTACATGTCTGCTTATAATTTTTAGTAAGGCTAGAAATGCTTTCTTGTAAAAATCTCACAAGGAATCATCACTTCTCTGGTACTATGTCCATATTCAGATCATAAAGCAGCTAATTTAGACTACTCTTCTATCATAAACTAGACTACTCTTCTATCATGTTTTCCATATGTTTATTTCTCACTGCCTGTGAGGCCTATTTTGGAATCTACCTAAAATGTTCAGGGGTTAGTTTTTGTTGCTACCTCTTCTACACAGGTTGCCATTTCTACTTTGGCTAAAATTTGGAAAGAATAACATTTCATTTATTGTCCCTATTCAGTTTATAAAACACACAATTTGAAGTCTTAAAGAGCTTGTCTTCAGGTGTTATCAAGTTGCAAAACTGTATTTGTATAGAATGAGTTATTTTAATCTTTTTCCTGTCATCTAAATGTAACTTTTAGACAGGAAGCAATAGGGTAAAAGGAGAATGTGGGAGAAGAGGAGTAAACAGTGAGAGCACAGAAAAAAGTGTTTAGTTTTGATAACTTTCTCCCTTACACTTCTTGTAATGACTGCCTATATAGAATTGTAAGTATAGTATGCTACAGCATTGTGCTATGTACATTAGAACCTCAGAGTTATGAACTCACCAGTCTTCAGACACCTCATTTGGGACAGGAAATATGCAATCATGCAGAAGAAGAGACAAAAAAAAGAAATACTGGGCAGTACTGTGTTGAATGTAAAATACTAAAATTAAAGGGAAAGTAAAAAAAATTAACAAAGGAAAGGAAACTCGCTGAAATTAAGGTAGTTAAAAGCAGCATTTTCTTCTGCATAGTCAAGTTTCAAAGCTATAATAAATCAATATGCAGTTTTAAACTTTTGAAATAACAAGAGATATGAACAACCTCCATTCCCAAGACATTCATTGATGGGTCTACTGTACAAAGACTCTGTCCTGGAGCATTTACAATCAAGGGCATATGCTCATATAATACAAGATGCAGGTTCCTATTTATTTTGCAAAAGATTCTGTCTTAATTCATTAGCAAAACTCATTTCTAGAGCCCTGTGCAGATACAAAATTTGTATTCAACTCCGAATCTATATCTGAAAAAATGAGCCATGGATGTCGCATCCATATCTGCAGATGTGGATACCCGCTGATATAAAGTAGATAATCATGGATTTGCAAGGCTCTATTCATTTCTACCCCTTGATTTCTATGGGATATTGAAATTTCTCTGCAAAATTGTTCTGGGACATTCAGAGCAGGGGAAAGTCCCCAGCATTGGAGCATTGCATCCCAGAGTGGGAAATGCCCAGTGACTGGGAAAAGCACATGTAAAAGTGAACAAACTGAAAAGTTAGGGAGGGTCTGAGGAAAAAAATAGGAAAGTCGAAGGTTAAAATTCTCCATTTCTTTAGAAAAGTGCATACTTTCCAAAAACACCTAAAATAACTTGGGGACTTAAACCTCACGTTCATAGGTGATTTAGGACCTTATCTTACTGAAATTCTTTAAAATATAGGCTCTTAAATGCTTATAGGTTTGTGTAGATGAGGATATGCCAAGTGAATTAAGCTAAACTTAATTAAGGCCACTTTAATGAATACCAGCATCCACACAAGCATTTAATGCAGTGTAACTAATCCTCTTCAAATTCAAAAAATATTTACTGAATTTGGATTAATTCTCCTGTATGTCCCCAAATTAGCAAGCCCTAAGTGACTTTTAAAATGCATATCCTGTCTCATGTTAAAGGGAACTACTACATACATGAGAAATCATCTAAGAATAAAAGAAACATCCGGGATGGCAGCTCTTAAGTGACTGATTACTGTCCCCTTTTTTTATCATAGCGGGTACTAGACATATAGAAGACTTGGAATCCTTTGCTTATGCTCCCCTCAAGTCCTTTGACTACTGGGGAAAAGAGGAAGAAGTGAGTCTGGGGGGAAAAAAAGATAGTGGGGCAAAAGTTAATAGCAGGAGAAATATGATATTTTGTCTGAACTGGGACGAATGGTCCATACTACAGGAATTCTGTAGCCACAGGACTTCAGTAACCACTGAATTCATCACTGTAATAATGTATCTCTAGTATAAGTCACTAATTTTGAAGGCGTTATACAGTGCAGTTGTGAGTAGACCCAAATCCAATAAAAGAACAGAAGAACGTGATGTACTCTTCGCAGATAAGTCTGAATGGTAGCTTGGTTAGTATGTGTCGGCAAAAAACAAAGAGTCTATAAAACAAACAAAAGGCTAACAAATTCATTTGGACATAAGCTTTTATGGGTAAAACCCCTTCATCAAATGCATCACTTCCCTCCATACATCTGACAAAGTGGTTTTTACTCACGAAAGCTTATGTCCAAATAAATCTGTTAGGGTATGTCTACACTACAAAGTTAATTCGAATTAACTTTGATAGGCGCTACACACGCGAACCGCTAGTTCAAACTTAATTCGAACTAGCTAATTCGAACTAGGCGTTAGTCCTCGTATAATGAGGTTTACCTAGTTTGAATTAAGTGGCTACACAGCCCTTAATTCGAACTAGCTAATTCGAACTAGGCGTTAGTCCTCGTATAATGAGGTTTACCTAGTTTGAATTAAGTGGCTACACAGCCCTTAATTCGAACTAGCTAATTCGAACTAGGCGTTAGTCCTCGTATAATGAGGTTTACCTAGTTTGAATTAAGTGGCTACACAGCCCTTAATTCGAACTAGCTAATTCGAACTAGGCGTTAGTCCTCGTATAATGAGGTTTACCTAGTTTGAATTAAGTGGCTACACAGCCCTTAATTCGAACTAGCTAATTCGAACTAGGCGTTAGTCCTCGTATAATGAGGTTTACCTAGTTTGAATTAAGTGGCTACACAGCCCTTAATTCGAACTAGCTAATTCGAACTAGGCGTTAGTCCTCGTATAATGAGGTTTACCTAGTTTGAATTAAGTGGCTACACAGCCCTTAATTCGAACTAGCTAATTCGAACTAGGCGTTAGTCCTCGTATAATGAGGTTTACCTAGTTTGAATTAAGTGGCTACACAGCCCTTAATTCGAACTAGCTAATTCGAACTAGGCGTTAGTCCTCGTATAATGAGGTTTACCTAGTTTGAATTAAGTGGCTACACAGCCCTTAATTCGAACTAGCTAATTCGAACTAGGCGTTAGTCCTCGTATAATGAGGTTTACCTAGTTTGAATTAAGTGGCTACACAGCCCTTAATTCGAACTAGCTAATTCGAACTAGGCGTTAGTCCTCGTATAATGAGGTTTACCTAGTTTGAATTAAGTGGCTACACAGCCCTTAATTCGAACTAGCTAATTCGAACTAGGCGTTAGTCCTCGTATAATGAGGTTTACCTAGTTTGAATTAAGTGGCTACACAGCCCTTAATTCGAACTAGCTAATTCGAACTAGGCGTTAGTCCTCGTATAATGAGGTTTACCTAGTTTGAATTAAGTGGCTACACAGCCCTTAATTCGAACTAGCTAATTCGAACTAGGCGTTAGTCCTCGTATAATGAGGTTTACCTAGTTTGAATTAAGTGGCTACACAGCCCTTAATTCGAACTAGCTAATTCGAACTAGGCGTTAGTCCTCGTATAATGAGGTTTACCTAGTTTGAATTAAGTGGCTACACAGCCCTTAATTCGAACTAGCT